TATTAATAAATAATCTAAATTTTTATTATATATTTATATATAATAAATCTTAATTATATTATTATATAATAGTTAATTATTAAATCTATAATTATAACTAATAAGATTATTAAAAGGTTAGTTATAAGCGTATTAGAATATAAAAAATATATTATTATCTATTATTTTTATTAGTAGCTATATATATATATTAATTTTACCTATATAATAGCTGAAATATATTATTAATACTTATAATAATAATTTATAATAATAATATATTATTTTAATTAGAGACTTTAACTATAATTAGAGATTTTAACTACTCTTAACTAGTATTAAGATAGACTAAAGTATATTATTTATAGATCTAAAATAATAGTAATTTTATTACTTTTATATATATAGAGTAGTAGTGTTAAATCTATAGCTATAAATAGACTTTTCTATAGTTAAATATATTATATAAAAAATTATATATATAGTTAAACTTTATACTACTCTTATTATATTACTCTTCTTTATTATCCTCCTCTAAGTAATATATCTCTATTAATAATATATTACTTAAGATTTTAATCTAATTATTCTTATTACTTTACTTAACTTTATCTTATTTAATTTATAACTATATAGATAATATCTATAATACTAATAATAGTAGTAATAAAATAAAACTAAAGAGTTTTAAAATACTTATAAAGTTAGCTATATTTAATAATAAATAGCTCTATATATACTTACTATATTAACTAACTTTAATTAGTATATTATAGATCTCTTACTTAATAGATTAATATAGTATTAAAGCGTTAATATATTAAGATAACTTTAACTTATTTAAAACTAATACTATAGAGTTTTTAATTAATACTATTATTATCCCTCTTAATAATTTAATATATATTCTTATATAAATATCTCTTTTTAACTTTTAATAGTTTAAATAAAGTTTAAAGTAAGATACTATATTAGAGAAAGCGTTAAACTACTTTCTATAATAAGTACTATTATTTATAAAGGATTTAATTAAGTTCCTAATATCTTTAGTAAAATATTAAATAAAATCCTATTTAGTAAACTAAATATCTAATAATTTATAAATTACTTATAAACTACTATTTATTAATTATAATTTCTATAGTTTCTTTTTAAACTTTTTATTAATATTATATTACTTACTATAAATAGATATAAACTACTTAATAAAGCTAACTACTTAATCTAAAGCTTTTTAAAGTAAATCTAATACTACTAGTAAGGATAAATAAATTAAAAGTATAATACTTAGTTAATAAGTACTTAGAATATTTAATAATAGAAGAGTTAGTAATAAATACTATAAAATATTTATATATAGCTAATATAATAATAGTAGTACTAGTAGTAGTAGTAGCTATATATATAGGTTAAAATATTAAAGATAATAATCTAACGCCTCTATATTATTATATATATTAATAATAGCGTTATTATTAGTATTAATTAGGCTAGATCTTAACTTTAATAATAGAAGTATAATATTTTTAGCTTTCTCTTTTATTATTATTATTATCTATTAATTATTATTAACCTTAATAATATTCTTATTTTTTTTACTTTAGTATTTCTAATTTTTTATAAACTAATTATAAAGAATCTTACTAAGTAGTTCTTTAAGTAGTTCTATATTATTAATACTAATTTATTTAATTATAATAGCTTTTATTTATTTCTCTATATAGTGAGATTTAATTTTATAGTATTTTTAGCTTAATATATAGTACTAATTAAACTTCTTATTATTTAAACTATTCTTATATCTTTAATACTTTAAGTAGATATATATATAGAGAAGTTATCTATATATTCTCTCTTTTTAATACTTAATATTTATAAAATTATTAGTTTTATAATTAATTACTTCTTATATACTAGCTAAAATACTTATTTAGTTACTTTTTTAAAGTATTTATATATTAATTATTATACTACTAGAGATTAATATAATATTATATTATTATTTAATAGTAAAGTAAACTTTACTTTTATTTTTAGCTTATTTAAGAGAGAGGATAATATTAATTTATAGAATATTTAGCTAAATAACCCCTTTAGTAAATAGATAAACTTAAGTAAAGATTAATATTAATTTAAATATATTAGTAAGCTTCTTCTAAGTAATAATAATAATAATATTAGCTTTCTTTATAATATATAAATAAATTACTTTTACTTTAAGTTAAGTATTACTATTTACTTCTTAATCTCTACTATTTATATTTAATATAAAAGTAATACTAAATCTATTATATATAATACTCTTAATAATTAGATTAAGAATAAGTAAACTATTACTTTTAAGTATTAAACTATAAATAACTTAGATTTATAGTAGAGTTAATTCCTTATTACTTATATTATCCTCTTTTTTAAATATATTATAGAATAATATAAATATATTATTAGTACTATAATAAAGAACTATAAGTATATTATCTATAAATTAAGTAGTTTAATAAAAAGTTAAGTTAACTAAAGTTAAGTTTAATTAAAATAATAATATTAATAAAAGTAAAGTATTTTAAAGCTAGATTATATATAATAAATCCTTTTTTTACTTTCTCTATATTATTATTACTTTTTAGTAAGAGGATATTTTTAAAGCTCTTTATAATAATAAAAAAGCTATAAGTATATACTTTTTTTATAATATAAATTTAGCTACTATTAAATTATTAGTTTTAGGTTTAGTTTTAATAATAATAACTTCTTTAGTAGCTTCTTTAATAATAATAACTTAATAAGCCTTCTTAGTAAGTATAATAATCCTAATTAATAGTAAAATAAAGTATTAAAGAGGATCTCTAATAATATCCTATATTAGTTATTATATATATTATTATTTCTATATACTATTAATAATAAGTAATAGATAATACCTAAAAAGGTTATTATCTACTTACTAAGCTATATAATAGCATTTAAAAAGTATTATAATACCCTTAGATAATAAGATTTAATAGAAATAAATTAATTAAAACTATTAGAATAGGTTAATTACTATACTATAAATATCTATATAGTATTAGGTAAATTTTCATATATATATAGGGATTATGCGTACGTAATTTCAGCAAAAAGGGGGGGCGGATGCTGTTAACGCAACGGAGTGTAGGTAAACCGTACTGTCGCATTTCCTGATCTGCCCCACTCAGTGGCCAGCGCAAGGGCTTTAATACACATGGCAAGAGTACTCCCGCATTTCGATCTTCGAACCTGGAAAACTCATGACCTTTTCAACAGCGCTACTCGATTTCAGAAGGGAGATTCCGGGTGAAACGCGCCGTGGATTCGGAAGGAAATGGTTCGCCGACTTACCAAACGTACACTCTGTTTCTCCATGTTTGTTATCGTGAAAGGTTCCATGTATTGGTGTTTCAACCGAACTCCAGGACAAAACATGGAGGTCTCATCAAGGCCCCATTGTTATGCTTGGAAATGTAAAAGGTACGGGCTGAGGCAGAATAAACACAAAGGCTCTGAGACAATCCATTGTTGTGAGTGAATAGAGAACCTGAGAAGTAAAGGGCCTCATACAAGGAGAGAATTGACGGTCTGCCATCACCTATGAAGGACCTGGCACAAACATGCCTGGCACTCGAATCTACTTATCTTCTGTGAACAGCCGAAAGCGAATTGATACCATGTCTCGGAACGTCAACGTTTCAAAGTAGACAGTTGATGAGTTATGGGCGTTCTCAAGTTTTGGGCCTGATGAACTTAACCAGTATGACATTACTAGAGATCGCAGAGAGTTCAACTGTGAGAAGCCACAAGCAGTCTTTTCCTTAGGTTGGATTGGAAGGCAACACTTCGTTGTCTAGGATGGATGAAAGATAAAGACACGCTTTCTTTTAGTCTTTCTTTGCATACATGCTAAAGTCTTTGTTGTTTTCTTTTTGCGACCAGACCACAATGTGCTTAAGGGTATCAGACAAAGTTCCATTTCTGACTTGGAATCCTTTCTACGCATACCTTGTGTTCAAGACATGCTACCATACTTCATTCTGAGCACCAGAGAAAGACCATGGCTTCGTTTGCGATGCATCTGTTTCTGTACATAAGTTCCCATCCACCCTCGAGGAGGCCTTCTTTTCAAAGCTGTTGTAATAAGATCAAATTTGTGCTGATTACCTGTATTCTGTGTTGCAGCGCTCACTGTTGTCTTCACATTCCCATTCAATATTATTCAAACGTAAATCTTTCAAGAAGAGATGGAACTGAGACCAAGACCAAAGCTTCTTCAGCCCGAACCTGAGCCCAAACGACAATCCGGGTCAACCTGCCTCTGTGGCCAGTCTATCAACGTAGCACCAAATAAAGTCCGACGACATTATGGAGTTGTGCATTGCTATTGTTACGACTGCAAAGGCGTCTTCGTCAAGAGTACTCACACAAGAGCCAACCCAACCCATCGCATTGGAACATACGAGGAATTTCCTCCTGCCGACAAACGCCGTCCTCCAGTGGACAACAACCTTGCACCCCCACATGTTTCAGAGGACATCGGAGGTAAGGTCAGTGGTCGACCAGTAACCCGCTTGCAACGTTTGCAACAAGCTCAAAATACGGAGAATCATGATCATCCGAGCCGGCCTCGCTTATTCACTCTTTGGGTTCTGATCGGAGACACTGACGATGCGGGCGACGTGGTTCACAAATACAAGCCGGATGACGTTTCGTTCTGTGATGTCAGCCTCTATCTAGAGCCTGCCTCGGTTCAGCACGAACCCTGGGTTCCGGCTGCGAGTAAATGGAAACAGTTGCAGAAGAGATTCCCGGGATTCCTTAAGTCATCAAGCGGGCATGTGCAGGTCCACCAGTCACTCTTGACTAGCGTGATTGCAACAGCTTCCGATGGGAATGAACTGACAGGTGCCATACGAACTTGGGAGCAGGTCGAATCTCATCTGCAGGCCAGAGATCTTCACTCACATTTTGACCTTGACCCCCAGAAAGATCGCCTGGTGTTGGCTCTTATGGAAACCGGATTTCCCGTCAAGTCAACCATCCAATCACAATACGACTGCATCGAGGACTATCTTCAGGTCATCGGTTCCGCTTACAACTCGCACACGATCGCATATCCGAGCAGGGAGGAGAGGAACGCAGCAGAGTACAAGCTGCAGGACATCCGCGCCCTGGATGAGATTGCCGAGGCCCGGGGGATGTGGAGGCCGACCACATGCTATGGTTTTGGAGACTGTGCTATGGCCAATAAGAAAGACATCTTGAAGCGGTCCTGGAGTTCCTCTTCTCTCCATGCAACAACTGACGGAGGACACGCTTCAAAGCTCACCTGTGCCCGATCTAAGCGCCGAAAAGTCGACAAGAAAGCCACAATCAACGCCGAAGAAGATGGCGAGGGTGTTTGGTTTCACCAGGAGTATGTGGAGATGTTGGCCGAAAGAGAACTCCGTGTGTTCATCGCCACAAGACCTGATCCCAATGGCACCAGAGGACTGCGAGGAGAAGTGGTGCGCGTGTGCTGCACCAGGCCCGACCCCAAGGACGGCGGCATGCATGCCACTGAGGCCATAGACAACACGTACGAGAGGCTTGGCACAACGAAATATGCGGTTCACGAGTTCGCCCTCGATGTCTTCGAAGCTCTCAGAAATCCAGAATACGGGTGGAAAAGTCGCTTCGAGACACTTGAAGTGGGCTGTCGACTTGATATCTCGGCTAAGCATGTTGGTGGTCCATTATTTGTGAACGAGATTACCAGATGGAATGGGTCTCATTACTTCTCTAACTACTGTACTGGCGATCCTCATGCTCTGATATGCAGCACTTACGCCACTGCATGGAAGCGTTATGTTGAGACACTTGCTGGATGATTGAGGGAGACTGAATTATTGATGGACTTTCTGCTACAGACCCTGATCCATTGATGTTGGGAAGTGGCGGATTCTTGCGATTGGTTTCCTTAAGATTTAGATGATCGGTAATTGTTATGTGCATTAGTTCATTTTGACCGATGTCACGATATTTGGAAAAGACCAAACCAATGCTCATTATCGGTTGTGAATTGGGGTCTGCATTGCAAGGCGACAAAAGTAAAGCCGTGCCAGCATGATGGTGTACATACGGTCGACTAAGTTCTAACCAGTATTTACAGTGCCAGGCCCACAGATAGACAATATTACTCCAAGATATCGTTGATGAAGTGATTTGAGGCGGCCAGCAAGACTTTGTGAACACTTTCGCTAAATTTGTTGTCGAATGCGATGCTCACACACACCTTGAGCGTGATTGCCCCCACGCTACCAATCAATCAAGCGCAGCAAGCGATGTTGGAGCTTGTGAAGCGCTCGTAGTTGCAACCTTCGCACACACAAGCGTTGGCCTCAATGGCACAGTGGCCACGACCACATTCAGGACTCCAGCCAAAGCCGGTCTCCCAGCAGTTTTGCGCAGCAACCATGGTTGCAATGGCGCTGAGGAATGGTGATTGAGAACTTCATGGTTGAATGGACTGAGAGATAAGGTTTGAGGGTAATGATAGTTCTTTGGGACTAGAAGTGACTGAGGGTAACGACAGAGTTGCGTGGGATGAAGAACAAAAGCCCGAGAGATCAAGAAAGGGAACAGGTGGTGTTTAAATACCTATTCTGGTATTTACAAGCCCGCTTCCACGCCACCACATACAGGTGCCGCCGAAGGCACACATGCGTGTCATGTCGTTCCACAGCCGAGTTCAGTGCCAAGATGATTATTGTCTGTAGCTCATACCTCATCCGCAGCACAATAGCCCTGCCACTTAATGATGGGACTTCATGCAAGTATGAGTCTGGAAATCCTTGATTGCCCGGATTGATCACATCGGTGGCTAGTACACCAGGATTTAACGGCATGTTATGCTGTTTTCGGCTGATGCGCCGTTGGGGATACTATACCAGCTGCTATGCGACCCACATGCACTTCGCGCGTTTCAACCTTAAAAAGAATTGCCCAGCCTTGTCCCGGGATGTTCGTGGAGATCAGTTCGAGCGATGATCGGACGGCATCGGAGCATGACCCAGTCGAGCAAAGAAGACAACTGGCAATTGGTTGATGGAATATCAATCAGTGCGGGACCCTTGTCAGTTGACCAGCGGCGGAAGCAGTCTGGATCCGTATACTAGTTGAACCGTCCAAATTTACGTGTTGGTGATGAATTTCATGGATATAGAAGGAACTCCTTTCGGGCGCGAGACCGCAATGGTTGAGGGAATAAACATATCTCGGCAAAATGAATTTATGGTAGCATACCCCAACTAACAGATCCGGAGATGGGGATTCGTATGTAAGAGCCAGAAGACACGAAGGCCTAATACTGATTGAAATGCCGACGGTATGTTATCTGCTTTCCAATGCTGTGTTGGGAGCTCGCTCCGTACATACCAAGACCGAAACTCCGCTTCAGAAGCCAGCGTCACTACAAATAGCTCTTGGTTTCTAAGCAGAGACCAAAGGAGTCAAATGGGCACTCCTGACCATGTAACATCATGTTTGCCGCCTAATCAAGGTTGCTGAAGGCCTTGTTAGTCACAGTGGTCGCATGCGGAGTAGCCCTGTCGACAGGTGCGGGAGATCTCCGGGGCCCACCCGGAGTAGTCCTCGGAAATCGTCAGCCAAGCCTTTCCGCGGAGCTCCATAACACAACACTCGGTGGATAGTCCGGAGACTTGACCACTGAGGAATCACATCCGAAGTAGATCCCCTTTCCGGAGCCCCCGGATCCGCATAGTTGGTGCTATTTTGGACATGACTCGGCTGTGGCGCAGAGTGAAGGTAAGCCACACAGTCTTTATAATACTGATGGACTACGGCCAAGTACTTCAAAGTTGACTTTGTCTGGAAAACCTTCCAGGGCATGATTGAACGAATGGTTGTCAACCCGCGGAGAATGTGCCTCCAAACTTCCTCTCCTTCCCGAACACAAACTCGTCGCTGGCAATTACTTCAGCTAGCAGCTTTCACGGTGGTCACTACTGAAATAAACATCACTTCTGGGTGTTAGTACCACAGGCAGATACTTGTGGGTTCATCGCCGCCAGTAACAAACGAGAGCCTTTGAGTCGCTAAGAGCTTGGTGTGTAAAGGAATATCCGGCACCGGATTGGGAGGGATCATTTGTGTGGGTTTCAATCTGATCGAGAAGCCATTAGTTGGCATGATGAAGCGTGATCGATGGATGCTTGTCCCGCATCGTTATACTTCTGATGGTTACTTCGGATCTCTTGATGGGAAAGGGGCTTGAAATCTACGGTCGTTTCGACAGGCATTGCTGTATTCCGGAACTCGAAGCATAAACCAACATGTAAGGCTGAATGATGATGTAGTAAATGATTGGTTTCGTGTAATTGGAAAGTCTCAAAAAAGTCGCCCTATGTACAAGAAGTTGAAATGGGAATCAGACAACTGCTGCAGCTGCCGATTCCTTTGTGGGTATGTGCATCATAACAGCCTCCGCGAAATCTCTACCCCTTTGTGATCCCTAAAAGAACCCAGCATCGTCTCAGTTCTCAAAGCCCCCGCCATAAATGCGTAACATTCGTCTCTCTTCGCAACATCTCTGCCAAAGATCTGCGCAACAGTCAAGGCATCATCTTGTGTTCAGCCACCACCCCTATTCTTCAAACGTCCACCTCTTCAGTTGCGAAAGGACCCTTTATCGGCTGCCCCTCATCTTTGCAGGCTTGTACATGCGAGGCTGAGGGGTCTTGCCGCTGTTGGGGCAGGCGTCTCCGTGTCGGTAGATGATGACGGGCTTGCCGTCCGAGTCCTGAGTCTCGTACTTGGGGCAGTTGCACTGAGGAGCGTCGGCCATTTTGAAGGAGTGTGTGGTGGTGGTTATTTGATACTGTGTAGGCTACGTGTCAGCGTTCGTAACTTCGCAAAGGGCTTGAAGGATCCAGTTGTCTATCTTACTTACAGGTACAGTGGTTGAAACCCGTGTCAGAGGTGGTAGGCAGAAGCAGGAAAAGGGGCAGCTGTGGCGGTAGGATTCAAATTTGACTGGGATGTCTCGTGTGTCTGGTGGTCGATTCAAAGGCAGGAGTGAGTCTTAATGATCCTGAAGGAGTTGAGAGCTTGATTCGTCTTTTGGAAATCCTACATCTCAACCACGACGAACAGACACATCTTATAATCGAATCCATCAACTGAGGCGCAGAACAGATCCAGCAGCGAACCCAACGTCGAGAAGAAGAAAATCTCTGTGACTCCTAGCTTTGGGCCTGGTGTTGTCCTCCAACGGGTAAGGCTACGACAAGGCATCTCAGGGACCCCCAGCGTGCGGCGAGGCAGATGAGCCAATTCCAAAGTAGAGCACGATTGGCAGTGCAAATCCAGTTTGGGGGAGGAGAGACGGGAGATTTCGAGAAGGGGCGTGGACTTCATTCGCTGCCTCGTGGAAGCAAGGGAGGGTGGGTTTGTCCCAATCGTTGGAAGCAGATGGGAGTGGGAGGGGGGCCGGCACCTTCATTCCAAATCGCCGGGCCACCACTGATGACAGCAGGATTTGCAAATGGGCTGTGGGTAACATACCCGGTGACGTTCATTTCACTTCCAACAGTTTGCGAGCCTCCCAACGGGCACAGCAACACGGGGTCACGGGGGCACAGAGGGACAGAATGTGTGTGTGTGAGTATCCAGGTTGGTGGCGCGGGCGTTGGGCAACTTGGCGAGCACCACAAGCGGAAAGCTGAGGACTCATGGAGTCAGGTCCAGGGTTCCGGGTTCTATTGAACAATGGAGAACAACTGCTTGTTTGGCGAATCAGAGTCTGGAGCCGGGCTGTTGGTTCCTCGAACAAAGCCGGCACCAACGGGGGTTGGTCTCTGAAACTGGCCGCATTGTTGGTTGGTCACTGCAGCAGCTTTTGCAAAGTGGAAAGCCCAATGACGCCAGTGGTGTCCAGAGAAACCGTCATAACCGGCGCAGCAACGGGCCGGAACCTGCTTCGCCCCTTGCGAGATCAAGACAAAGAGTGAGAAGAAGGCCTTGACATATTGTCTCCCTACGTTGGAAACAATGCAATTTGTTGTTGTTCAGGTCGAGGCCCTTTCATTTAGAAAAGCTGCATCCAGGGCGGAGTTGTCACAACCTCTGACCTCGCCACATCCCAAATAGAAAAAAAAGGAGGATTCCGTTACCAGACTCTCGGGCCCGAAAAAGCAACCAAAACCGCCTGAGAAGCAAACGGCCTCGTGGGAACCAGCTCCTGACATGTTTGCCAATCTCTCACAGACCCCAGCCTCGCCCAGCAACCCGACTCCTGGATGTTGGAATGCCTTTCAACAGCAGGACCAACACCGCCAAGCAACAGCCCCCAAACCCATGTCGTCGGTTCCCCTATCAAAACCCGTCGTTGGAACCGGGGGACGTTGAACAGTCCCAAACCCCACAAATCCTCTTCCACGCCCTTGGCTCACCTGCGGCGGTGATGCTCAAACCAATCACACACGCCCCAACAACCAACAAGCAAACACCCAAAAGGGAGCTGGGTGGCCCGATTCTCCCATCTAATTTCCCCTGACGTATTGCCGTTGTGCCATTGCAGTGACCAGACACGCCCAACTTCATCACAGCAAACACCCCGTCCTCGGCCCGAAAAGCCTCTCCCGCAACTCAGCCAATCACGACTCGTGCCCTCCAAAAGCACGCTAACCACCGCAACCGAGATGACGAGCTTCTACTTTGAGTCCCTCTGCACACCAGTATTTTTCTCACTTTTATCGACCTTCTTCTCTGAGAGTAGGCTCCAGCGTGACTTTCGCGTCCTCCTCTCCTCCCACCACCCCCGCTTCGCCCAGCGCTGCGCCGCGGCCGCCCGGTCTTCGCGCGGGTCGCG